GAGATTGAGTACGTGGCGCATTCTGGGGTATGTTTTGAGGCCCTTCTTTGAGGCTGAGTTCAACGGTGTTTTCCGTTTCGGAATACTTCACTCTGAACAGACTTATAACGAATTCACGAAATTAACGAGGATTCGCGTTATTCGCGTGAATTTTCGATTTCAAACGGCGAGTACTGTAGTTCCACCTCATGTTTCTCCGCTGCATTTTGTTTTTACCCAACAGAATTTTGAAATTGTTATCCGTTTAATTAATCTCTTAGGTTATAGCAAAAGCAAAACCGCTGTCAGGCTTCCGTAAAGAGAAAATCCTAGCAAAATGATGCGCAGGAATTGACAAAGTCAGTTCACGCTAGAATTTGGTCAGGATCACTTCATAAAGACAAATCTATTGCACATTCTACAAAATATGATGCCGTGAGGAACCCTAATTACTACTTAATTACTTAATTACTACCAAGATAAACGCCCTATCATGAGGAAGTAGTACAGCTTTATCCAGCCGAGAACAAAAATCAAAACTTCCTCAAAAGTTTTGACTCAAAGAACATAGTTTTATGTGTTTTACAACACGCTCGTGGTAGTCCATTTCTGGAAAGCAAGTACACTTTTTTTGTAAAATGAAGATCAGAGAAAAAAAAACGAGCCATTTTCCTTAAAAGTTTTGCCAAGTAGAGCGAATGTGAGGACACTTTTTTATCTGTGATATTTCTGAAGTCTCTGATTCCTGTTTATTTTCTTCTCCATGGGTATTCGCTACGAAGTAAAAACCGATCTGAGGAAAAAAAAGCTATGTAAAAGAAAGTAATACTTAAATCAAGAATGAAAATTGAAGGGTGACCCCACTTCGCTCGACTCGGGGAGACTTTCTAAGAAAAATAGCTCGTTTTTCTCTATGAAAAATTTTCACAAAAGTGTATTTCTTATTTTCAGACATGGACTGTCACGAGCGTGTTGTAAAACACGTGAAACTGCTTCCATTGAGACACTAACTTTTGAAGAAGTTTTGATTTCCGTACCCGGCTGGATAAAGTTGTATTATTTTCTCACGATACGGCGCTTATCTCGGTCGGATAGTAATCAGGGTTCTTCCCAAACATCATATCCTGTGGTATCCTCGAAAAATTTTTCTCGAGAAACTGACCCTGACTGAATTTTAGCGTGAACTGACACTTCGGCAATTCCTGCACATCTTGAGCTAAGATTTTCCCGTTACGAAAGTCTGACAACGATTTTGCTCTCGACGTGATCTAAGGAACTTATGTGAATGACAATCTAAAAATATGATTTAGTAACAGCTAAATGCAGCGGAGAAACATGAAGTGGAAACAGGGTCAACCCTATGTTGCTACAAGTAGCAAGGGGGGGGGTCGTATTTTGATGAGTTTGTAGAGGGGGGGGTCGTACTTGCTTCGGTTGTAAGAAGTTGCATGTGATGAGTGGGGAGCGGCGCGGGAGAAAATTTGCCGTTTCAGCGCGCGTATATATCCCCCCTAGAAAATGGAGCAGTTGAAATATGGGTAAAATACATGGAAATTGTAGGGAAATGTAGGGAATTTTTGCGGTTTTACGGTAAGTATATACCCCTCTCCCCTTGCCGCTCGACGGTAATTTTTCGGGGTAGAAATAGTTTTGAAAGTGGGGTCGTAAAAGCTTTTTTAAAAGTAGCAACGATAGGACCGACCCTGAGTGGAAGCGTGATTTTGCGTCACTGGAAGCGTATTTTCGAAAAAAAAAGATAAAAGTTGTTGCTTCTTCGATTTGGAAATTCTGTGTCGATATTCAGAACTGCATTTATATGTATCACAATTATTTCCTAGAGCC